AATTAAATAAAACAGTTAAACAGATCAAGTAAATAGTTTTAAATCCTTATACTTGTTATTTGATTTAATACTTATAGGAATATTATTTTTATACTCATTATTTACCTTATCTTTCTACAATTTAAATAAAATATTTAATCAAACAAATAAAATACCTATAAGTAATAGATGTACTCGTGCCCAATACTCACTCTTAGATGTACATTTCTGTAGGTGCAGAACCTTGGGCTGAGCCCACCCCATGATTTGGTTGTGTTTCTACCCCTGTTGAATGACAAAAAAAGTTTAAATGGTAATTTTGATCCCTCAACTTTATTGGTTTACATTTTTGGTCCCTCTATTTTTTTTTTTGCACTTTTTTGATCCCTCAACTCTAATAAATGCCCAATTTTGGTCATTCTGTGAATTTGGACGTTATTTTTATATTTTTTTTTTATGACATGGATGATGCAACATAAAAAGATACTGCAATAGACAAAACTCTATGCAATGTCATACTCTTGCTCCTCAAACCCTCCAAAGAAACCCTAGCATGCTCTCTTATCTCCACTCCATCTACAACATGGATCTTAACCCATATCTTCTTCTTCTTTTTTCTCAACGAAACCTTACGAGATCTAAATGGAGGGAATTTGAGATGAGATTTGTTGGAGCTGAGTTGCCTCTGCTGCAACATGTCTGTGACTATGGTTTGAAATAAAAAATAATAAAATTATGTTATTATCTCATCTCCCTCTCAATCCATCTTCTTCCTCGCTTTGCTCCAGTTGAGATTGAACCCAACAGAATTTGGGTTCTATGTCGTCGAACTCAACTGCTAGGTTTCATTGAAGCCACTTGCTAGGTTTGATTAATCCAACAGATCTCATCAAATCAAATTAACCCCTTAATAAACAATATCAATCAAACTCTAATCAAATTCTAACAAAAATGCAATCAAATTATAAATCAACTCCTAAATTTATCAAGAATTAAGAATAGAAATCGAAAGAAGAATGAAACTTGACAAATAACAAATCTGGGTTTCGTCAAGCCCAGTAGCTGGGTTTAACGAAACCTAGATCAGTTGGGTTCAACAAAACCCAGATCGGTTGGGTTCGACGAAACCCAACCAATTTGGGTTCCGAAGAGCTAGTTGGGTTTGACGAAACCCAAATCATTGGGTTCGTCGAACCCAGCACAACTGGGTTCCATCAAAACCCAACCAATCTGGGTTCCGAAGAGCTAGGCACACCATGAAAAGGGCTAGGCAATGAAACTAAACGAAGGCGATCACCAACCTTGACTCAATCAAACAACCAATCCAAATCTGGGTTCGATCACCTAACCCAAAGGATGGAGAGAAAGAAAGAAGGGAAGAAGATGGGATTGAGCAGGTGAGGGTGAGGGTGATAAAATCATTTTGTTTATTTTTATTTTTTATTAAAATATAAATATTCATATGATGTGGCATTTTTATTTGTTTATGTAATATAATTATAAGATATATTATGTCCATGCCATCAAAAGATTTAAAAGAAAATGCCACATGGAATTATTTAACGATTACGTCATACTTAACTGATGAAGGAATTAAAATTATGTATTTCTTATAATTGAGGGATCCAAAAAAGTGTAAACTGATAAATTGAGGAACCAAAACTAGCATTTAACCAAAAAAACTCCACGCAATTTTCCAATTGAAAATAAAATCCTTTAGTAGGATAAAAAGCACCACTTTTTAAGAGTTGAAGGACTAAAAATTAAAAATTACTCCTATCATCTCAAAATAATTGTTACTTTCACCTTAAATTTATTTTAAATTAATTATTATTTTTGTATTTTTTAAAATAGACGAAACATTTTTTTTTTTTACTTTTAACTTTATTATTATTCATTTATTTTAATTAATTATTCAATTATAAAAAATTTATTTTTATCTTTTACTTATTTTTTAAAAATATTAAAAATAAATACAATTATTGTCCTCAAATATTTAATTTTAAAAAATTAAAAAAATAATTATTTTAAAAAATAAAGAATAATTAAAAAAAAAAAAAGGCTCCACCTTTCAAAGATGAGGAACCCTAAAAGGCAAACGGAGGGAATAAATTTTGAAGTCTAAACGTTGATTTGAACACAAGGATAACAAAAAATTGATGGGATGAGTAAACAAACCATGACAATATTTCATTCCACCTGAGATACACCAACCAATTGTAAGCCTTTCAATCAGGTTGAAGGCATATTCTTTATAAAAAAAAAACAGGGAAAGAAAAACAATTATAAAAGAAACAAAATGCGAAATCACTTTCCCCCAGGGTAATGAGCCAGTTATTAAAATGATAACACGGAAATCATTTTTTGCTTTTTCTTTTGACTTCTGAGTAACATAGATATGGTATGGGATGAATGAACTCTCCAATGTCTAATGAGCCTTCTCACTTGGCACTGGCAAGTTCAGTGCGGAGAAGCTTGGCGGCTGCAACCATGTTCTTGAGTGCTGGCTTTACTTCAGCGTACTTGCGGGTCTTGAGCCCACAGTCAGGGTTAACCCACAAGATGTTGGTCTCAAGAACAGCGAGCATCTTGTTGATTCTGTCGGCAATCTCCTCAGTTGATGGTATTCTTGGAGAGTGGATATCATAGACACCGGGACCAATTCCTGCACCGTACTTTACTCCCTCACGGAAAACTGAGAGGAGCTTCTCGTCAGAACGGGAGTTCTCAATGGTGATCACATCAGCATCCATGTCTATGATAGAGTGGATGATGTCGTTGAAATTAGAGTAGCACATGTGGGTGTGGATCTGTGGAGAGTATGAAGATGATGACAATGAGAATATGAATGGACGGTCCAGAAAGGCATAGATAGAGAAATGAAACAAATGCAAACCTGGGTGGTATCCTGGACGCCACAGTTGGTGATCCTGAAGGAATGGACGGCCCAGTCCAAGTAGAAAGCCTGCTCAGACTTCCTAAGAGGCAATCCTTCTCTCAGGGCAGCCTCATCGATTTGGATGACATTAATACCAGCCTTCTCAAGATCCTCCACTTCATCCTTTATGGCTAAAGCAATCTGATAGCAGGTCTCATGTCTGGAAAAAGTGGCAAACATTGAATGTTAGAGATTGCTGGTTCCAAATGCTGAGGCAACAAAGATTGTCTATGTTTTCAATTTCTTCATTGGTTCTGTTCCAGCATACCTGGGTTGGTCATTTCTGACAAAGGACCAATTCAAGATGGTAACAGGACCAGTAAGCATTCCCTTCATGGGGCGGGCAGTCATGCTTTGGGCTGTAGATGACCAGAAGACAGTCATTGGCTTGGGGCGGCTGACATCACCATAGATAATTGGTGGCTTGACACAACGAGATCCATAAGATTGTACCCACCCATTAACAGTGAAGGCAAAACCAGATAACTGTTCACCAAAGTATTCAACCATATCGTTTCTCTGCACAATTTTCAGCAGAAGTTAGGATGCTTTCCTGGTTCAATAAACTCAAGATGCTATTCTTCCTAGGGCTAAAAGGCAGAGGGATACTGACCTCAGGCTCTCCATGAACCAGGACATCAATATCGAGCTCTTCTTGGAGTTCAACAACCTTTTTGATTTCCTCCTTAATGGCTTTAATGTAATCCTGCTCAGAGATCCTGACAAGGACATGACAGACTGATCAACACAATGATCATATTGGGATACAAAGTGAAACATAAGAAAAGCTAAAGATCAGCTCACTTGTTAGCCTTGTATTCACGACGAACTCTCCTAAGTTCTATGGTCTGAGGGAAGGACCCAATGGTAGTGGTGGGGAGGATTGGTAGGTTAAGCTTCTTCTGCTGAGCATCCAGCCTAGCACTGACATTTGTTGCACGGCGGTGGTCAGAATCGTTCACAGCCGCCGCCTGCAAAAGAAAGTACAGTGATTAATGGTCACCACAAAATGAATCAATAGAGCAGTCCCTTAATAGGCATAAAAATAGCTCATCAGTTGATCAAAATACTTACAGCCTTTTGCACAGCCTCATTGGTAACCCTTGGGGAGCACTTCCTTGAAGCCTGGGCAGCAGCACTTGCAGAGAAGAATGCCTGAAATGGAGAAATGAAATATTAGCATTGGTGTTATCTAAATCAAAAGAAAACACAAGAAATAAACAAAAACTTAAGTAGCATCAATCAGCCAGACATTAGTCTAACTCAAATATGCTGTCTTGAGGTGGCTGGTTGAAATGTTCCCAAATTAATTAACATCAGTGTTATGCTAATTTTAGGTAGCCTATAAAACCATAAGATGGATCATTTTGAACCTTAACAGATTGCCATCAATATAATAACATATTTTCACAAGAATAAATACCTCATCTTTATGACCAGCCAGTGCCTTGGCCAATGCATTCACTTCCACAACTTTCTGGGCTGCAAATGCAAGCCAAGATTTGATCTCCTGATCAAGCTTAGTCTCATTAACAAGATCAACAGCTGTATGGAGAAGTGAGCAGGAAGTGGACACCACTAGTTTGTCTGCACATTAAAAATTTAACACCCATGTGTCAGATCATCTAAATTGGAAGATTCACCACCATAAGTCACATAACGCAAGCAACAATCACCTCTGCCCGCAACAGCCTCTAGATCATTCAAGATATTGAGAGAAGCAGCAAGGTCATTTGCCCAGATATTCCTTCCATCAACAACTCCAGCAAAGAGGTACTTCCCCTTGGGGAAATGACTCTTGATCAAATCAACAGTCTTGGTTCCACGAACCAAATCAAACCCCAAAGCAGTAACACCCTTCAAGGTAGTAAGGGTCTTGTATGCCTCAGTGGGAATATTAGCAAAATAGGTCTCAATGAGAACATTCAGTCCAGATAGAGTTGACTCCAATTCAGCATAAGCATCAGTGAATGCTTGCAGTTTGTGAGAGTCAAGATCCAACACAAGGGTGGGCTCATCGAACTGAATCCAGGAAGCACCAGCAGCTTTAAGCTCAGAAATAACTTTCCTGAAGAGGAATTCATTGTTAGAACAACAATTAAAACATTCACATTAACTCAAGTCAAAGATAAGGATCAATTGTTCCCAGCTCTTACTTGTAGATGGGAAGGATTTTTCCAAGAAGACATAGAAGAGGGAAGCTCTTCTCAACACCCTTTGCTGGTTTAGACAACAATAAGTATGAGACAGGACCAATGAGGACTGGAACAGTGTCTACTCCAAGCTGCATGAGAGACAAGACAATCAGTATATGAAAGATGTTTAAGTTTAGAAAAAAAAAAATGCTGGGGGACAGACAATCAGTGTCTAAAAGACAAACAATTTAACAAAAAAAAATGCATAATGGTAAAATATATATATATATATATATTCGAATAATATTAGAGATTAACCAGGTAATATAGTCAGGTAGGTTAACTCTGTTGTCACCACCTGCCCCTGCTCCAAGAGCATTCTCCCATAATGGAAATTGTACAAACACCCACAAACTACTATTTTATAAATCTTAGAGATGATGATTCCTAACTATAAGAACAAAAATGAAGCTAAGCTCCCAAAGGGAACCTATATGATGAAGTCCAAAGCCTGCCTTGATGATATGGATGCATATCAATCCTCAAAACTAAATACCATATTCAGGTCATTAACTCAAATGGACTCAAGCATGACAGAATCCGCAATTCAGGAGTAAATATGATACCACAAAACAATTCAGTTTTTACATGTTTAGAATCTAAATAATATAAATTCCCGTCCTCTAATTTAAATCCTACCTCTAAACATACTAAACATTCAAGCAGCATAGCATTTAACCGACCTAGCGACATACATATATATGAGAAAAAAAAAAACATTATAAAAAAAAAAGAGAAGATTGTAATTAACTGGAGAAAAAAAAAAAAAAGAAGCAGGAAACTAAGTACAAAAATTAGCCCAAAAACTTACAGCTTTAGCCTCCTTGTACTCATCAACTGCCTTGTGAGAAGCGTAAGAGAAGTTCACTTCAGGTCCCAACTCAGGAACAATGAAATGGCTGGATGAAAATATTGCGAAACACATAAGTAATACTATTAAAAAATTAAAACCCAATTATATGTTTAAAAAGAATTAACAGAAGTCATGACTTACTAGTTGGTATCAAACCACTTGGTCATTTCCATGGCAGGAACAGAGGCATTTCCTCTGGCCATGGAGAAGTAGGTGTCAAATCCAATCTCCCCGCCATTCCAGTCGTATCTTGGTGGAACAGCACCAAGCATAGCGGTAGTGTCAAGCATCTGGTCATAGTAAGAGAAAGTGTTGCTGGGGATGTACTTGATCCCGACATGAGCCATCTGTTTCCAGATGGAGGATCTAAGATCAGCTGCAACCTTTTTCAAGTCATCAGCACTGCTCTTCCCATCCCAGAAAGATTCCAAAGCAAACTTGAGCTCTCTCTTGGGTCCCATGCGAGGGTATCCAACAATGTGAGATGCCATTTTTCTGCATCACATCATAAACAAACAAAATTTACCTTTCTTGATAACAAAATCAATCATTTAAAGGACCAGAACTTGTTGGAATTACACACAAACAAGATACAAAGATAAACAACCAAACTAAGACCCAGATCTAATGTGAAATGATTTAAAATTAAAAAAAAAAAAATGAAGAAGAAGGAAAAAAAAAACAGGTTCACTGGTCGGATCAGATGAATTAGTCTCGAGGTAAGGCAAGCTGCCGCTGAAAAACAAAGTTCACTAACTGAACCTAAACTACTTCAGTTCAGATC